GTTTGCAGGACATCTGTAAGGAGTTTAACGCCTTCATGGATATGCATTGTTCAAAGCATGATCCCATCACTGCTTGAAGGAGCAATTCAAGCTTGAACCCAGGATGATTTTGAGTAGCTTTATCATTTGAGGGAAGCCATTCACACATCTCTAACCTCAGCCACTTACATTATTGAAAAGAAAATTTCACAGAAACTTTGATATTCTGTGATTCTGCGATAAAAAGGACTAAATAAGCAAGGGCTGTGTTACAGTCCTGCCTAACACATCTCCTATAACCAGCACTTTGGAAAATGGGGATAGAGGGTCTCCAAGTACAGCTTCTCTATAGCTTTTACTTCACACAGATTTTTGAGTATCCAAGAGGATTGGTCCCTCTGTGGCTAAATTTAGGTAACATACTGCAGGCAGGTTTTTGTATTTTTCCCCTTCACAGCAGAGGCAATTGTCTGCTCTTTTTCTCCTATTGTATTAAAAAGCTGCCTGGTATTAAATTACACACACTCTTTTATTGACAGAAACTCAGTCTTTGCTATTTCTCCTTAGAGAATTTCAATTCTCCCAACAGGAAGAAGGCACTTCTTTCAGTCTTAAAATGAGTACAGCTTTTAAAATGAACTTCATATTTTTTGCTAACAAAGCCAACTTTTCCAAGCAATACTTTATATTTGAGCTGGGCCCACTGCTGGGTAGCCTACCAGTGAAAACATAAATCTGTCACTAGCTGTTAACTATTAGCTCTCCCTTAGCAGCAATAGAAAACTCAGCTTGTGCTGCCTTCCTTGAGAATAACTTACTCCATTAAAGCTCAAATCCAGCAGATTTCCTATGAATAGGCAGATCAAACAGAGACACAGTAGAAAAGGTGCAGCACCCAGACATATTGCAAATTACAACATGCAGCTCTGAATTTAGCTCATTAACACACAGGTAAATTCACATCTGAAACTTTGGAACTGACCAGGAATAAGCATGAATTTATGCCAAGTTTCAGTCCTAGCACTACCTTCAACGAAGAAATGAACCCATGGCCCTCACAACACTATAAAAGATGAGTACAACCAGGTTTGAGATTATTTTTACAGTAATACTGGGGAGAGAACCTTGCTAGAGCTTTCCCTCTCTGTGCATAGTTCTGCTTCACGTAAGTATCTGCATCCCTTAGGCCTTGGCAGCATCACCCATCTTCTCCAGATTTCCTGCCACAGCCAGCACTGTGAAACAGCCACATTAGAAGATTTGGTCTTCCAACCATCCCTTACTTTATCCTCAGCAAAGGAACTCAAAGCAGTACAGGTTAGGATGCCTTGTTACACCTTTTTCTAAGCATTACTGCTCTAAAGGAGCAGCATTTTTGAGAGAAACATTTTAAGGATCTAGCATCATAAAGCCAAGCCGTACACACCATGTATGGAAGATAAACCAACCTCTGCAATTTTCACAGTGGTTCTTATTAAAAATGCTAGCAGAGACAGAGCTTTCACCTAAGACACAGATATCTAGTCTTCCTTCCATTATTACATTTTAGCACCTGCTGGAAGTTGGGGGCAGGGGGAACCTCTTTAACCCTTTGTTGCTTCAAAGAGATTGTTTATCATGGGATATCTCAAGTTGGAAGAGATCCATAAAAATAATTGAGTCAAACTCCCTGCTTTTGGCAGGACTACCAAAAACTGGACCACATGACTAAGTGCCATTCAGATGCTTCTTGAACCCTGACTGGCCTAGTGCCATGACCACTTTCCTGGGCAGCCTGTCCCAATGCCTGACCATCCCCTCAACAAGGAGCCCTTTTCTAATGACTAAAGTACCATTGTGATGTCAACATGAACATGTTTCATTCTCACCTCTGAGGAGTTACATTGAACTCTTGTAGACACCCCTTCTCCCAGAAGTGGCAGGAGTTGAATTATAATCAGAACAGGATGCTTTAGTGCATTAACAGCTGTAGGATGTCATCTATCAGGTACCTTTTTTCCCAAGTCTGCTTTTAAAGGCACTCCTGCATGTGCAAACTTTTGGAGGGTAAGCAAAAGCACCAAAAGCTGTCATTTCAAATGGAACATTCTGTGGGAATTTAATCTCCTTCTCATGAGTTATCATTTACAAGGAATGGGCTCAGGTTATTTTAGTGCTTCTTTTGCTGTTAGCTTTCAGTGTGGGTTCATTGAAGCCATGAGGACTCTTGATCTCCAAAACGGTTTAGCTCAAAGACAAGTTCTTTTCTTAGCTTGTATAGACACAGAACAATCTGGAAAGCAACCTGCTTGCTGAATACTCTGCTTTGTTTGGACATATTGAGAAGAATTTTCCACCCATCTCTTTATATGCAGTTTATAGTTTGTCTTGGGTAAGGAATAACATGGTCAGTGTACAACATCTTTGTGCTTTCACTGGAATGATCTCTCTCATTAAATAGAAGAGTTTCTATTTTTTTTTTTACAAAAACCCCTTTTGATTCATTTTTATGATGATTGAACATTGCTTTGTTCAGACTTTTTGTGTCATCTACATTCAGAATGTCTCCTTTGTATATCAGTTTTCTTCCTACTGATTCATGCTCCACCTTCATCTCACTTCATGAGTCATCTTCTCTACTATTTGCAGCACTTAACACTTCTGGCAGTGAGGCCTGACTTCTAGAGTTATTTATGGCAATAAAAGGCTGAGGAGCAGATAACTCAGGAAACTTGTAACAGGATAGTGATTACCTCAACCCTAGGTCCTCGGTGTGGGTTTAACACTGCTAAACCTCACATAGAAAATGGCAGAATTCAGTCTCCTGGCTGATCACATAATCACCACATCTTCCAGGACTAAGTGCTGCCCTCAGCAGCAGGGCTGTAGGATTGGGTTGCTCATTTGCATGCAGCAGAAACCAGTGTTATGATTACTAAGCTTTAACAAAACCATTCTTAAATCTCTTCAGCAGTGATAAAATAACTTCTCTAAATCCTCAGGACCTCATTACCAAATCCCCATGTCTACTGGGTGTACAGCAACACTGCAAGCGCCACAGACACATCACTCACCAGCAAAGGGGAATTCTCACTGCAGGCAACACTCCCTCATGAGTGAGCCTGAGGTTATTAACACATCATTATTTTAGGCTTTCTCTGGTATTGGAGTCCATCATCTCCGTGCATGAAACAAAAAGGCAGAAGGCAAGCAGCCAAGTGTCACCCCAACAACAAAAATATACCCTGCTGAAAGCTTTTAATGTCCCTACAGAGGGATGCTCTGGGAAAGACACAGAAGAAACCCCCAGCTAGGCTGGAAAAAAAATTGGAAATTAGAAAGTGGGTGATTTTACAGTGAAGGACATGAAGCCTTCTGCTAAAGCAAAGAAACAGGTCATCTAATTCTGCTGTGTATTTTTCTAGTGTTTGTTTTATCACCTGAAACCCTCTACTTTTTAATAAATCAAGCTAATGTAGACAGTTTATGTACAACTTACTACCAACATATGATTAACTGCAGTACAGTGGATCTTATATTCATCTCAGAGACATTACAACTCCAGGGTTTTTTTGCTGAAAGCCTGGAAGATTACTCTAAAAATATTCACAAGAGAGGAAACTTCTGGAGCAGTCTTTTTTTGTTCCTACAGCAGAAGATTCACAGTCCATGGACACCAGAACAAATTGACTAAATTCAGTGATAACTGGAGTAATCTTCTGATCACATTTGGGGTAGAAAGACAGAAAGAACTGCTGCATGTTTTTGACATCATTTGACATTTTGACTATCCCTCAGCACAGAGCATTGCACATTTTGGATTTTGTTCTAGATTAGGGAAGAGGAACTGAATAAAACGCCACAACATATCACATAATTTTTTCCCCCAGAAACTGCTCACCAAACCACAAAGAAACAGACTGGAAAGGACTGCCTGAGTTTTGAAAGCCAGGGAGGTACAGACACCCTCAGCCCTCACCTTTAGATGCTGAGCCAGGGCTGCTGCTGAAGAAAATAACTGCAGTAGACAGAACAAACAATTGTACTGAGGAGGATGCTGTCACTGAGTCTTGGTAACTTACAGCTGCATCAGTGAATCAATCTGCCTGTGGCTTGCAAATATGAAGAGCTCCTCTGTTCCCTGCAAATATCTTTTTTGAGGGCAGAAGAAAATGATTTATAATGGGGCACAGCTGACTCTTGCTACTACCTGTCTCACCTGGGAAAAGGTATCTCATCTGTGTGTAACAACACACTAATTAGAAGAAACAAGTGAGAAGAAGCAGGAAGAGGCAAGTTAGTAATAAGTCAGTCACCAAATTCAAGCACATTCACATTATCATGAGTCTATAAAATTTAACTTGCTATTATTATATGATTAAATTTATCCAACTTCTTTATTGGCTCCATGACAAGATTCCCTTTTCCTAGGGATCAGGAGGTTGGAAACACATTGTATACACACAAGAATACATAAAAGCAGGAGCATACAAGGATAAAGCTGTGACCAACAGGGATTTGGGGCAGTAGAAAAACATGGTGGGACCCTAAGAATTTTAACAATGCAGAGAGACTGGCAGAGAGGTGAGACCTTCAGACAATAAGGTGACAACAGGCCCCAAGAACATCTATTTGACAAGCATTGTGCATATGAGGGAAAGACAGAACAAATACCAAAATTATCATGCAGAAAACAACTGATGGGCTGAGATATACAGAGCACAGGTGCGTTGCAAGGAGATGACTCTTTCTATCCCAGAGTTGTATGTCTGGTCAGTCTCTTGGCTTTGGAATCCTCTATGCCCTACCTTGAATGAGCATAAAACATTTATTACTGCCAGCTCTTCCAAAAAACCAGTAAAGCTCTTCCAAAAAACCAGTAAAGCAATTATGCCATTTGCAGTCTCCCTGCTATCAGCCCTGCCATCACCTCCTGGTCCATGCCCACTTCTGTTTGGGCCACTGGCTTTGCCCACCTCCTTTCCTCACCAAACTCACACCATGCTCCCCTCTGCTTCTAGCCTGGCTTTTTACTTTCTTACCTTCAGCTACAGGTGACACATTCTTCCTTTCCACTTTCCCAGCCAAGGAAATCCAGCAGCAGCACAGGACCACTCTTCTCTCAAATCACAGGCCAAGCACTGCAGAACAGATTAAATGATAGCCCCGATTTTTACAGCTTTGTGGCAGTTCTCCTAGCACTCTCAGGAATAAAAAAAGCTTTCCTGCTTTCTCCTCTCTTGACAGACTTGTACTAAATCACTAAGGGGAGGAGCAAGAGATCATCTCGTTTCCTAAGGCAGCTGGGATCCCACCTGAGAAGCTGAGAAAGACAGCCCATTAGATAGAGCTCGCTCTTTCAGCCCACCTCCAGGCCTGGTCCAGTTGGGATGTTTTGCAAAAAAATTGTATTAGCAATACAGAAGAAAACCTGAAAATCACCCTGTGTTGCCTGGAAAGAACAATGGAGAAACAGGAATATGAGAAAAAAAACACCTTAGAAAATAGAGAAGCTTTATTCAGCTGGTTCAAAATTTTCCAGCAATCTGACAAATAGGAGAAATAAGAGACCTGAGGATACATTCTCTCTACACAGTTAACCCAAGCTGTTCCTTGAATTTTGTTTCTTAGGTACATTTAGCTAAGGTTATCTGGCCAGGTATGGAATAAAAGCTGTTGTATGCATATACACACATCCATACAGACTGTTCCACTCAAGTGCTAATAGTCTCCCAGTGCCTTGTCATGTTTTCAGAAGAGCAAATGATCATCTCTTTGCAGCCAATGCCATTTCTTCCATTATTTCCTGGGCAAGAATTTTAACTCCCTGCAGCACAAAGCCCCATAAACCCCTGATGATACAGAGAGAAAAGCATAGCATCAGTAAAAGTGCCTTTTTGTAGCAGGACCACTCATGTGGTTCTGTCTGGCTCATCTGTGTGTCACATGTGATTGTTAATCTCTCAAATCAACTCTGCAGCAAAGATACCTTGGAAAAAGCAACAAGAAGTGCAGTACTAATAGCAGGCTACCTCAGATAAACTTCCTAGAATCAAAAACTTAAGATGAAGCTGGGGCATGGTGTAGTTCAACTGGTGGGCTGAGAAGTGATGCTGTCTAGCTTGTCAGCTTTACCTGGGGAGGGCACAAATCTGTTTCAGAAGTGAAACACTCAATTCTTCATCCTGTGCACATCCAAGGACTTAACCCAGAGGAGGTAATTTTTCCACCTGCATCTGTTGGGGCAGGGGGCATGTTAAAGGTAAGTAGCCTGGTACACACTTTGTGAAGGGGGTGTTGTGTTGTCTGAATGGTTCATTAGACCAGGGGAAGAACCATTCTGAGTCTTTCTAGGATACCTTTTGGAAGAGGCTGAGCACTGTGTGGAAGGCAACTTCAGGGAAAAACCCCACATGGATTTCTTCTTTTACAAACTTCACAACAACTTTAATAATTGCCTTTATTAGGAGGATCTGCTGAAATCCACAATTTCATGCTTTTTAACACAATAAGCTTCTGAGCCTCTTCCTGTAATACAAGATACAAACTCTTGGCTGGGCACACAGTTTAAATATTTTCTGGATTTAGAAATAATTTAAAAATAAAGACCAAATGTCTCTGTTGAGTAAACTAATTTCTGTGTTATTAATAAGAGAAGCAGTTAAAGCCTGCCTTATTGAATTGTGTATTTAACTGAACACTGATCTAACTCCCACTGAAAACCATCCATGTCTTTCCATTACTTTCAGAGGATGTTGGACTTGTCTCTTGATGCTTAAGAGAATAGCTAAGCAGGGAGAACTCAGTTACATTTCTGAGCAAAGAAACAGCTTGCTGTTTTGACTTAGTTCAAGTGAACAGTACATTGTGAATATTCCTGTGTATAAAATTACACTGAGATGTAGCTGACAACTGCAGGGCTCCTCACCATGGCTAACTGCACAAAAAAATAAAAAAAACAGGACAGCAAATAGGTGCCAGGTGTCTGCTTTTAAAATGCCTTCAAGTATTAGATCTCCTGTTTGACTGCTGGGTCTCTTACCAAAACCCTCGGGGCACAGTTCAACAGCTCTCATGACTAAACTCCACAGACTTGTGTCACAGTCACATTTGCACTGCTCCCTGTCCCTTGACAGGTTGAAAAGGCACCAGCAAAGCAACAGAAGTCCACAATTCCATGGCAACTGTGGAGGAGAGCACTGGTCTCCCTGTCAGTGGCAATCTCTCTCTGCTAGCCATGCATGGAGGGAGACACAAGTCTAGGCAAGGGTGACTTGAGGAGAAGCATCTCTGGAGGTCAGCCCAGCCAGGGCTTGCTCTCCTCAGACATAACCATCACAGATCTGTTTCCATTGGAGTTATTTGCCTGAATTTATTCCCTTGATCTTTACCAGAGGGCAGCCAGCTTTCTGAGGCTGAACTCGAACTGGCAGAGCAACCAGGTGAACAGAGTCGGAGCTGCAGATGTTTGAGTGCATCAGCATCACTGGTGCGGGCCAGAGGATTCCTACCCCGGCTGTTTGGGGACAAGCCCGCAGTCCCTGAGCCTCCTGCTTGCACGACGAAGAAATGGTCGGTGCACGATGCTGTAACGCGTAGTCAGGCTCCTCTGAGCTCACAGGCTTGAGCGCAGCTCGCTGCTCCTGCCCTGGGATTTTCCCTGGAGTTCCAGCACAAAGCGCCCCCGGCAGGGGTCACCCTGTCCCGCGGAACTCCGTCCCGGCGCCGCTCCCGCCCCGGCACTGCCACCGGGGGGTCAGGTGTTTATTCCTGCGGCTTTTTTGTTTTCCCCCACCCGAGCTTCTGAACAGGAAGGGAGAATATTCCGTGCCTGATGTATTTATGCCGCCGTCCCTTTTAAGTCAGTTTCCTAAGATACCCAGCTACAAGCAAGATGTGAATAACTTCGTTCACGCTGTCACCAGGAAGAAAAACGGGAGAAAAAATAGAGTTCCAAGAATACAGAAAGACAAGTTCAAGGGAAGTAAAATTATGTATGTACTATCAGTTTGCCTTTTCTCTTACTCCAGAGGCAACTCTGCCACAGGGAGGAATGCCAGCCATACTCAGAGATTTTTCCTACAAGAGTCACCTCTGTTGAAGGGAAATGTTCTGTGTGATGCTGAAATTAAGAGTTCAAAGGAAGGGAAAGAAATGCTCAAAATAATCAGTGGATCAGGGACCAGGTTTGATTTTTTGTGGGGTTGCATCTGCCTGAAGGAAAGGCAGTAGGCAGGATGCTGTGCTGGTGGGAGCTCGCAGTGCCAGGCTGCTTTGCCTGAGGCTGGCACCCGTGTTTGTCCATGGAGCTCATTGCAGGGCAGGTGTGAGTGCTGCTGGAGGTCCCTGTGGGGCATGGTCAGAGCTCCTCCCTTCACGAGTCTGTGTTTCTTCTCCCCCCCTCGTACTGATTTAGTCTCTTTCTTTTCCCTTCCTCATTTTGTTCCTCTATTCCTCTGATACTGTTCCTTATGACCCAGTTTGCCTTCTCTCCAGCATGCAGAGGAGTCACTAGGCTTTTTCCTGTCCTTGCTGCACTGCAGTTCTTTATACGCTGAACAAGAATGTTCCATTTAAAATACCAGCCATTGCTGCTGAACCACCAAACCCCTCCGATTTCAAAACAATGTCTGAACAGCTGGGACAAATGTTTTTCTCACAAAAAGCAAGACACAATTGACCACAATGCCCTACATCCTCGGGGAGACACAAAATACACACCTAGACCACATTCTCAAATAAGCCCCTAATAATCAATAGACAGGAGTAGCTGGCAGGAACTGAGATGTCTCCAGTTTTGAAGCATTTGAACTCAACATCCAAACGGTTTTATGTTGCATAAGTCCCTGTTTTATAAACAGCCTATAGTGCTGAGACAGTGTGCTGCAGCAGCTCTTGGGAGCTCTCTCTTGTGAAGCCACACTGTTTCCTAAATTACTCTGTTCTCACTTTTAATATTATCCAGAATGATGAAACTAAATTTGTTCCTCAGAGCTTTGCATTAACTGCCTGTCTCTGTCAGTGCACTTCAGACCAAGCCAAAATACTGAATGGTGGGAGCACAATTGTGCTGCACAATGCAATGCTTTGGCATGAGTTCAAGAAGCTTAATGCCAGAAAGGGTCAGTAAATAATGTCATTATTCCCTATATAAACAGAACTTTAAATTTAATTACAGACTGTAGTACCAAGGGTACAGAAGGATTGTAAATGAAAAAAAAAAGAGAACCAGGAGCCTTCAACCTCCCTTTGTTTTTCAATGTTACCTTTACATTTCAAAACAACTCGTCCTCTTTTCAACTTCTGTCAGAAGTGCTGGTTTCCTTTGAGGAGCCAGAAGTTCTTATTTCAGGCAGCATATCAAGAGAAACCATGTTTTCCCAGCACATAGTCAACAAGCACTGAAAAGAGACTTCAGTGACTGTAGAAGCAACTACTGAAAATATCCCAATTGGTGTAAGATTCCTACGTTGAAATGTGCAGGGAAGGTTTGGGAGCAGTGGGCATAGGGAAAGGGCAGGATTAATGAGGAGGGAGGGCTGGACCACGGTGCTTTAGGATAGAAAAGTCCCTCCCAGAATGGCAGTAACAAAATTATTTCCCTCCTCCTTTTGAAAAACACAGCAAAGCAAAAGAAAACACGAAGTTTTGATAAAGAGGTAACTTTACTTTTTCAAAGTAAAGCCAGTATCAATCACACACAGCAGGAACTCAATTTAGCACAGTGAATTCATTTTCTTTTCCTGTTGACTTGCAGATTAGGAAGGCACAGGATAAAGAGATCCTGTCAGGGATATTAAGGGAGCTCTCCTGCAAAGATACCATACCTCAAAGAGACCATAAGCTCTGGTCACAGTCTCTCCTTACCACGGAGCAGCCAACTCTGGAGACGTGTTTCCAGCTGATTGACACTATCTCACAGAGGGTGAGGACAGAGACAAGCTAGAATGTCCTACCCAAGTGTGTGACCCCTGTGTGCCCTTGCTCACAGCTACTCCATTGCCTGGGATTTAATTCTCTGGAGTGATTTGTTCTGAAATAGGGACCTGACTGATATATACATAGCAGAATAAACTTGCCCACTATCATCACTTTTCCATTCCCATTAAATTCAGTTT